ATATGTAATAAGTCATCAAAAGGACATTGAAAGACACAGAGAAGACGTAAATGAAATGCGTTTTCTTGAAGAGAGAAAACAAAGAGCACCAAAATATTAAAATCAATGAACAATCCATGTCGATCGACCTGAAATTGGCATTGAGTGAGGACATAGCACCTTTGGTGTGCTAGATACAACTATGAACAAAGTCGTTGTTGTTCAAAACTGCGATTGAAGCGTAAAATTACCGGTCTTGAAAAAGAAGAACACAATTGGTGGAAACAAAAGTACAAAGGTTGCTTCGCAAACGTGGCTCCTTTACAGAGAGCAAGAAAAGCAGCCACAAAAGGTGGGTGCAGAGAAGAACAAACGGATAAAAAGCATGAAACATATGAAAAGCAAAAATGAAAAGAGACGTGGGGCAAAAAGAACCGGACCCAAGAGAACAAACAAACCGTACTGAACGGTCCTTCATGCGAGTTCATTCGATGTATTTATATATTAGATTGTGAGCTACAAGGTTTTCCCTTAGGCTTTGACTTTGGAGGCAAGTGAGGTTTCTGGAGCCTTTTGATTTACAAGGCATCTTAGTTTTGGTGGATTTATTTTTAATGAGGACACCTGAACCGGCCATTTGTCCAAGTTGGATTGCTCCAGTGAGGACTTGACTGAGGGCGTGTTCACATAAGAAATTTCTGACCAGAAATCACATTCTGTAAATTTTTAATGCAAAAATCAAACATGCACCACCAAATAGACACTATAAATTTTGCTGAATGTGATTTCTCACCAGAAATTGCTTAAGTGAATGCACCCTGAGAGTCAATGGATCAATTTCTAGTTGAGTGAATCACATATCAAAGTTTTGGTATGAAGTGCAAGAAGTGATGATGATTTCTTCAAAATTGGGACAGAAAACCTGGCTCTAGCGTCTGAATTCCAACCTTGTTGTTTAGGTGTGGAAGGGAAGCGTACCTCTCAAACCATGTCCCCTAATGTCCATGCGTTGAACTCATAATGAATTTGTATTGAAAATCACAGAACAACTCATGATATCGTTGACCAGAAAAAAACAGCAAGAAAACACATTAGGGTGATCAACTTATCTTCTCAGCCACTCAGCACACACCAATTATAAAACAACGACAAGAAAAATAGTGAACGAACTACTAAATGGAAACAAATGAATATATTTTATAAAAGATAGAGAGAAAGAGAGAAGTCACTAGCAAGATAATTTCTGAATTCTAAAAACTACTCCAAAACGTAAAATTCAAACCTGGCCAAACAAGAAATAACCAGAAAAAATCTACCCTAAAAACCTATCAGATTTCATAAGAGAACGAGTATTCCAATACCAAAGACTCATCATTAATCTTTTGATTCTTTTTCTTCATCAAGAATCGCTTCGTGGTCAGAGATTGTAGGAGTAATTAATTCTGAATCAGGTTTAGGTTCAGAAGTTTCAGTACTATCGTCAAGTATTGGAGTTTGTTCTAAGATTGTAGTGGTTTTTGATGATGGATCTTCATCTACTTCGTTATCATCGACCTTTTTCAAATCATTGGTTTTCTCTGAAGTTTCTTCTTTAGTTTCGATTATCATCTCATCGACATTCGAATCGTCGTCGACTTTGTTCTCTTCGGTTTTGCTGCTCTCTTCTTTCGATTCCTCAATGTCCTTCTCATCAACTTTGACTTTGTTCTCTTCGGTTTTACTGTTTTCTTCTTTTGATTCCTCAATGTCCTTGTCATCGACTTTGACTTTGTCCTCTTTATGATCATCAACCTTGGCTTCATCGACTTTGTGATCATCGACTTTAACTTCGTCCTCTTTAAGATCATCGCCTTTGACTCCATCCTCTTCAACATCATCTGCTTGGACTTTATCCTCTTTAAGATCATCATCCTTAACTTGGGTCTCTTTATTTTCCCCATCTCCTTCTACCTCCTGATCAGAACCATCTTCCTTCGCCTCAGTCTTGATTCGAGCTTGAGCAGCTTTTTTAGTCCAAACAGGTCGAGCTTTAGGAGAAGCAGGAAGTTCATCGATAACGAATCCCATATCTTTATACATTTCTTCAGCTTCAGCTTCTCTACCTTCTTTTACTGGAATCTTAGGTTGACCAGGTAATCTGACAAACGCAAACTAGAATAAATCACCAAAGAAAATCAGATTTAGATCATTGGAAAACTCGATTTCAATCTTGGAATAAAGAAAAATAGAGAAAAAAAGCGTGACTAACTTTACAAACTTGAAATCCAGCTTGACCTACTTCTCTCCAAGCTCTTTCAACCAAATAAAGACCATCATAACGATACCCTTCTTCAGGAGCAAATGGACTATGATTCTTATAGCCACGAATGACTCTAACAGGATTTTTAGTTTCCGTAGAAGTACGAAGTGCAGCATTAAGAGCCGTGAATTCTTGATCAAAGGTTTGAGGTGCTGTACGAAGGTTTTTCGGATTCTTGGCTGTTCCACTTAATGCTCTTCCTCCTGCTCCGGTAAATGTGAATGCATAACCTAAATCTACATCATCTTCATATCCTCCACTCAAAGCTACACTCCAACATCCTTCAGTCTCGTTTCCTGCTATACCTGAGACTGGTGGAGCATGAATACCGGCCTGAAGATCAATTGAAGTCAATGAAATGAACGAGACTTGTAAATTTTGTTTAAAAAAAGAGTAAGGTTTGAAAGAAACTAACTTGAGAACAACTCATTCTAGAATCCCACCAATCTCCTACTTCTACACCAATCTGATGACCAAAGATTTTAGGGTTAGGACGACCAGCAGTTAAAGAACGAGCTTTTCGACGAGGAGGACCAGATTGACGTGGCCGTTTGACAGGAAGAAATGAAGTACCCGTCGATTTTCGTTTTTTTGGATTCGGTTTAAGGTTTTCTTCTTTCTCTTCTTCTGACGATTTTTGATAATCTTCGTCTTTTGATTTAATGATTTTTTGTATTCTACCACTTCTTCTACGCGTCTTTGAGTTCGTTTGATCATCTAGAACATTGGGTTCTTCTTCTTCATCGATTTTAGTAGCAAGTTTTTTGGTTTTTGGTTTTTTAGATGTTTGATTTTCACTGCTTTTGGTTTTTTGTGGTTTTGGTATTATTGGATTTGCACATGGACCTGATAGCTTCAAAGATAACAAAAGCTGACGATCTGGAAATGATTATAAGGATATCAATTGGGGTTCGTTGTTCGATTGATGATTAGTTTTTCGAATATATCAACTTACTTGAGTCAATGTTTCTTTGTCTAATTTCTTCGTAAGATAAGCTTGCCATTTTGTTTAGGTATGGTATAAGTTTATTGAGAATGATAGTTGGGTATCTTTTCTGGAATTGTTGGTTTAAATCGGATTGGTTTATCTCGTGTATTGAGTCTTGACGCGTTTGTTTCCTGAAAATTAACTTCCAATTTTCAACTCAGCATTCAGAACTTCGAAACATTTCAAATTTTCATAAACCCATAGTATAAATATAAATCATATCCCATGATATCACACCACTTATCCAGAGCAGTGACCTTTTATTCTCCAGATTTCAGATGGTTCCAGATGCATACATTTTTTTAAAAAAAAGTACCAGGTTGCTAAAATTGCATATTACACTAACTAAAAAAGTCAAAAAAAGTAGAAACTGGTACGCCTGAACATAGCGGCCATCAGTCGAGAATCTCGAGATGCATACGATTTATACGACAAGTCGTGCTGTGACACCTATTCTTTGTCAAGTGTCTTCTTGACCCGGTCGGAGTCAGTGTGGGACTTTTTACGAATCTGAACTGTCATTGAAACCCGAAAAACGTCCTCAGTTCAAAGTTCCTCGGCAACTCCTGGCAACTCCCTCCCTCAATCATATGTGTATGTACGATACCAGTCTGCCTCGACAACCATAAACAAGATATATTCCTGTCTCTTGCTTGTGCTCTCAAGAGACTTTTCCCCCCTCTTTATAAACAAAATCATCTCAACTTCATCA